TAACAACAGACACAGATTCGACGACCAGGTATGTCTTCCTCCATCTCTCTCTGTCTCAAGTCCTCACCTCTTACCCATCTATCTCACCTTCTCCCTGTAACTCACACACACACACACACACGTCCACCCCACCCACCCCGAAAACCCACCCTACCCCACTCCCCCACCTCCTACCCATCTCTCTCACCTTTTCCTTGTAACTTGACACACACACCCTGAAAAACCCACCCCACCATGGTCCAATCGCCACCCAACCCCGACCCTCCACCGTAAAACTACCCACCAACCTAATGCCCGCTCCCCAACCCTCCATAGCCACAGCAACCCCACTGCCACCACCCACCAACCTAAGGCCAGCCACACAGTCCACCCAACCCCATCTCCTGCATCAAACCCACACCACCACACAATGGCACACCATGTGTTTGTTGAAATTCTTGAGATAGTTGACGGAATTTGGGTTAGGGCTTTCTTTGAAGGTGGAGAGGATTTGGGGTGTATTTTTGTTTTCATTTTCTAAACTTGATTTGTTTGAATTAATAGTTGTTATAATCTCCATCTAGGAACATGAATACAAAAAGTCAGTTTACTTGATTTGGGGAATTTGTCTAGCTCTATTAATCTACTTCATTTTGGTGATGATGTTCCATAATTCTATCTTTTTTGGTTTGATTAATTGAGGTTGAATGTATAAGCAATCAATCTTTGTTCAGTTTCAATTTGACAAACAACTAAACTGGTTTCAAATTTTTTGTTCAGTTTATTTCTTTTTGTTTGCTAATTTTTTGTTATGGGTTTGCTTTAGAGCATTCACTTTTGCATATGAAGTTTGACTTCTTTGCTTTATTTCTTCCTTTTTCACTTTTCATTCTTTGCTTGGAGTGTTGTGTGAAAAATTGCATACCTAATTAGCAAATTGAAGGAGCATAACTTAAAGACTCTCAAAATTCTGTCCATTGCTGTAATATTTTGCCTAAGTTGGAGGTATTTACTCCCCCTCTTGAACTCTTATAAAATGTTTTGATTAATAATTGTATTGTATGTATAATAGAATTGATTGGTGGGGACTGTTTCTGTCTGTCAGTGTTGTGGAAAATTGTGGATAGTAGGTGTTTATTTAATGGATTGTGAGAAAGACTATGGAGTTTTGTATACCTGTTATAATTAATTGAGTTTTTAGGAGGGAATTGTTTTTTCATGGAAGTTTTAAAGGAATGTTGATACGTTTAATGGCAATGTTCCCTGATTTTTTAACTGTTGGTGGATTCAGAAGTTGTAATGCATCGCCTATATAATAAGGATGTTCCTTGTTTGTAGTTTTTCTCACATGGGTCCATGTCATTTTTTTGACAATCAGCATTTAATAGTGTGTTCTGATTTTTAACCTTTAAACCATGTCCACTTGTATTTTGGTGTTTTTGTTTCGTGAATCAAGATATTCAAGTTGGTAAACCTTTTTTCAATATTTTAATCAGGACAGACAGATAATACATCATTCACATTGTTTTAGGCCGTGGCTAAACCTTTTTTCCTAACTTGTGGCTTGAGATCATGTTCGCAATCACGAAGGAGATCTTTCTTTTTCTTTGTTTAAGTCACATTTCTTCCCTTCTTTTTCTTGGTTTTGGTAGTTAACTGTCAGCTACCCATGTGTGGACCTGTTTTGCATATTTATACACTTGACTTTGGTAGCTTTTGTGGTTCCAACTAATATAGAACTCTTGCTTGCATAGGACTTTCTTTTTCCTTTGCCTTTGGCTTCATGTTACTTGTTTATCATGATATTCAATTCTATGGCATTTCAAGTTCTTTCGAAGCTTAGTTAGTATAGTGGTGGTTAGGAATTAGATCTGCTCGGATTTTAAATCTTATGTTGTGGTTGGCCCTGAAGTTTAATTCTAGACTGTCCATTGTACAAATAATAATGTGGCGAGATATCTAATGATAGCAAATGGTTAGTGCAGGAAAAAAACTCCATTGACAACGTCATGCACTATGAAATCAGTATGTGATTGTGATCAATTGAGATAATCCTATTTGGTTATTAAAGTTTCCAATTATGGTACTCATATCTTCCAATTTTCAATTTTATCATTACATCTAAATCCATCAACTTGCCATCCAGGTGACCAACTCGTGAATCGACCAAATGGGTATATTTGTTTGGCAAAAAATAATTTCCGTCCTTGACTAAAAATTCTTAACTTTGTTTTCGTCCTTAGATGCAGGTCGAGCAACACCATTCGGATGAGTGTTACAGTTTTAAGCACTCTAGACAACTATTTCACACCTATAAATCCAATGCTTTTACATGCATCTTAATTCAACAATGTAGTAAATCTATTCTACCACGTGTGCTCATGTTGTAACACAAAATTCATGAATCATTCTTAATCCGTTGAATTGTTTTTTTCCCATTTAGGTGTTTGATGAATTTCATGATTGCGGTGCTTCACTCAAATTAAGCCAATGAAGGTAACAACTTTCATTCAATTTTACTACAAATACCTCTTCTTGGTCTTTTTTATTTGTTTTTTGTTCTTGAAGAATTCTTTTTATTAGTTTAACAACTTTGAGTGCAAGTGATTCATTAAACAATTGTTTTCTTAAAAATTGATCTTCAACGGTCTATTCTATATGTTGTCCCTAGACTACATAGCTTTTTTATTGAATATAAACATTTGCACCATCATTCCTTGTTGGCCGTTACTTAAATGCACACCTGTACAATTGCACATAAAGAAGTAGGGATCTTTTCTCATTTATGTTGTGGTTTTATTGTTTTTATGTAGAAGTTGATACCTTTTTGCATATTGTTGTTCTGCTTTCCTCATTTGTCCACCTCCGACCTCCCACCCTTCCTTCCAACATGCCTGTAGCTGGACTACCAATAGAGAACATCCTTTATCTTGGTGGACCAAATATTGCCTCAGAGATTTACAACAAAGAATATGATAATGCTCAAATTTGTGCACATAAAATTGTTGTGTGTTTGCATTTTATACTGTGCATTTTGAGGGTAGACACCAACTCAATTTCAAATTACGATGTGCAATTGCGGTTGTGTTGTCCCCTTGGGGCACAGGTTGTTGGGCATGAATTGTTTGATTTTTGGGGATTGTAATGTTTGTTTTTCAGTTACGTATACAGGTTGACATTTCCATAGTCTCCTATTTCTAAAGGAAATTCTGCCGAAATTTGCAAAAAAATAGCGGGTTATTATTATAGATTAGATTGATGTAACTTTCTTTAATTATTTTGCAAAAATAATTAAAATTTTGCCTTCTCTTTAGCATTCTAAGATTTGAACGATCATGTGAAATTCATTATTGTTTTGGTTGTTTTGTTCACCTTTCAGTTATGTACACAGGTTCATATTTTAAAAAGAAATAATGTCAAAATTTTAAAAAAAATATCGGGTTATTAGTAGATTGATTGATTTATGTGATCCAAAAAACAAAGTGTTATATTGAGTGAACAATTCACAAGCGTATTTAGTGAGTTGCAAAATGCCTTCCGTCATAGGTTGTTTGCCGTGATTTTTTCTTTACGTGTTTGTTGTGTGGACTAAGTTTGGTAAAGTGAATACAAAAAACATTGTGTTATTGGTTTATTTTGATTGGAATTGATGGTTGCCAAAGTTGATGGGCTTGGAATGATGATTTTTTGGAGAATTTTTATTGTGAATTCTGATTATTGTTATGTCAGATTGTGAACTGTAAATTCGAAAGACTGAGTTTGTAGACAAGTTGCAAATTTCTTGAAATTCTATTATTAGAGTAATCTCTGTCAGCATAGTAATTGCCCACAAATGTCAAGTTGTCTATATTGATTTCAATTTCTTTAATAAAAATAATTTAAAATACTAACACAAATACTGACACAAACGAAAATGACACGATCTAAAATTGAAATGACTGAAAATGACACGACACGAAAATAACATGATACGATTAATGTCGTTTTTGCCAACAAAGAAAACTAGCATGGTGGTCTAGAAGAAGGGACTAAAATGTTGGCCAATGCTCATGGTCATGGGCTTTAACGAAGCCGGCCCTTAGAACCAATTGAACAGATATGGAACTTTCCAAACAAAAAAAAAAGCATAAAGTCATATTTTCAGAGGCTATTCTGTCGAAAAATTGAAATTTTTTTTACAGAATATCTATATTTTTACCCTTTTTATGTCACTAAAGTCATGACATTAAAAATGACCAAATGATTTTCAGCTTAATACATATTTATATTCATTATTTGATTATTTCGTGTTTAAGAATTATATACAGTGTCTTCGAACATGTGATATAAGGCGAGTTTAGGCCTCTAGTTCTGTGCTCGATTATTCAATGTTCAATTTTTTTTAGTTGAACTGTGCCTTCAAGTACGAGTTATCCCTAGTAAGAAAACAAATGGCGAATGCCACGGGTCACGACAATCGAAACAACCGAAGTAAAAGCCAAAGTAAACCACTGCCTAATCAAGGATTGATTTTTCAAGGGTTAAAATATACTTTTAGTGCTAAGATTCTTAATTTGTATTTACGTGGTTTTGTCCCACACGTTCACCAAAAAATCGTGATGGTTCTGATCGCGCGTTAATTATATGATTCTTAATTTTGTGTTTATTTAATTTCTAAAGTTCTTAATTTCTATTTATTTGGACCCACGTGATTGGTGCGTGAGCAAAAGACGTTATCAATTTTTTAACGAACGATTGAGATTGGATTACATGAATATAAATTAGGAATCTTAGGGTGTAAATAGACATAATTAAAAAATTATAGATCAAATAGACACTATACACATATTTTGGGATCAAAAGTGTATTTTATCCATTTTTGTATGATTTTTTCGATGAATGCCATGTAGTTGGTTGACTAGTTGGGCTTAAAGAAGTTTAATCACTGATCAAATAACCACAAACACAATCTTCCCCATTTTCAATCGACCAAAGCCAAGATCTGAAGTCCTTTCTCTGATTTCTATCTCTTCCCACCTACGATGACCACTCCATATCCAACACCCATAACCCCCTCCCAAACCAGCATAGGCTGGATAGGCATAGGTGTGATGGGCTCAGCCATGGCCTCTCGCCTTCTCTCCGCCGGCTATACCCTCACCGTCTACGCCCGCACCACTTCCAAAACTCTCTCTCTCCAATCCCAAGGCGCCCATATTGCCAATTCCCCCGCCGAGCTCGCCAAGCTAAGCGACGTTGTTTTTACAATGCTAGGTCACCCATCAGATGTTCGACAAATTGTCTTAGATAACCCCGCTGGCGTTCTTTCTGGCCTAAACGCTGGTGGCGTTGTTGTAGATACCACTAGTAGTCATCCAAAACTTGCTAAAAGAATTTTTGAGGTCGCCCGCGAGAAGAATTGTTGGGCTGTCGATGCTCCGGTGTCTGGTGGTGACATTGGGGCAAAAGAAGGCAAGTTAGCTATTTTGGCTGGTGGAAATGCGGATGTAGTGAAGTGGCTGGAACCTTTGTTTGATGTAATGGGGAGGGTGACCTATGTGGGTGGTGCTGGGTGTGGGCAGAGTTGCAAAATTGCGAACCAGATTACCGTGGGTGCGAATTTGGTTGGGTTGAGTGAAGGATTGGTGTTTGCGGAGAAGGCGGGGTTGGATGTGAGAAAGTGGATGGAGGCAGTGAGGGGCGGGGCAGCAGGGTCGATGGTGATGGAGTTGTTTGGCGAAAGAATGATTGGGAGGGACTTTAGGCCTGGTGGGTTTACTGAGTACATGGTGAAAGATTTGGGGATGGGTGTGGATGCTGGGGAAGAGGAGGGTGACAATGTAGTCGTGTTGCCTGGTGCTGCGTTGTCTAAGCAGTTGTTTTCAGGGATGGTGGCTAATGGGGATGGAAAGCTTGGTAGTCAAGGACTCATCACTGTTATTGAAAGGATCAATGGCAAGTGAGATACTTTCTCATTCTCTTTGTATACTATGGTCCTTGCCTTTGTCTTCTGAGCTGTTTCGTTTCTTCTAAATGATAAGTTCAAAGTATGTAATGAATAATGTGACTCTGAATCATCCTTACATTTATATGGAAGATCAGGTCAGTAAGCTAGTTACTTGGTCCTTTTTACAGTTTGGTCTATTAATTAGGCTAACCAAGACATTGAACTACATAATAAAATGACGTACCTAGTGTCCGAGACTCTTTGTCATTGCAAGACCTAACGAGAGTTAGATGTATGTAGTCTTATCCTGTAAACAAAGAGACTGCTTTCATAACTGAACCCTTAACCTTCATGCCACAACAGAACAATCTTACCATTATGACAAGGCCTGCCCTCACATTCAACTACATGATCACTCTGTTAATTACATGCAAATTGCTTAGACGTGTCGGCATGAATTGGGTGGTCAGGCCTCCTGTTAAACTTATTCCAGTTTTCCTAGAATTTTTGAAGTTTTTAGGCTTTTGGAGACATTGTACATCAGGTGCTGGTGACTTTTACATACCCTAACTACTGATTAATATGGAGAGATGGCCTAAACACTTGTCAAGGGTAGTTTGAGTTTGATTTGTGGAACTCAAATCAAGCAAACACCATCTTATGAAGATTAGGACTGTTAATGGAGCTGAATTTTTTATTTTTTAGTATCCTTAAGTTCGGCTCAAATTGATTATCACAGGCTTGAGCTCGGTTCGGCATGACTCAACTTGTTTTTGTACTTGGAGTTTGAATTTGACAAAAGAGTATCTGCAAAACACACACCCAATAAGACTTGAACTAACAATATTTAGATTGGAATTGAAGGCGCTTTATGGATTAACATAAACGTGATACTTTGTTATTTATTCGAGCCTACCTAACCGAGCAACACATTACTCAGGTTAGATTTGAATATGAAACAAGTTCAAATTTTGATAACGAAGTTGAACGAGTAATGCTTCACAACTTAAATGGAACTCAAAAAGTTGCAACTCAAATGCATATTATCTTTTGGACAAACTCATCCAATATTCATCTAAGTGATGATATGCATTTGGGTTCCATGAGTTGTGAAACATTTTCCGGTATTTCGGCAATTTCATTTCCCTTCATTTTGGTGTTGGTGGAGTGGTGACCATGATTAAAGAATTTTTTGATAAGGAGAAAATTTAGTCCATTGAAATCAAAATCTACACGTTACTCATATAACATTATATTAAAGAAAATTGAAGAAAAAAAAGTAATTGAGAGAGTTTGAATTCATAAAATTTGGAGGTACGGTATTTATTTATTGGGTGCTATAATGAAGTCCATGAGGGGCTATTTGGTAAGTGGGATTAGGGGGAGGGGGGCTTTGGAAGATGGGTTGGGAAAAAATAGTCTAAATGACACACAAAATTCATGTGTTGGCCAAAAATTTGAAGCTTGGGTTACCAAGTCCAGTTCGTTATTGGTTTGGATTTTAAACCCCAAATCATGGGTTTAATCAAACCTGCCTGAGGGGGGGGGGGAGGGTGGGTTTTGGATGAGGGGTAACGGGTTCAGGATACAAAAATACAATTATATCCCCATATATATACAAACATAGATTTTGATTAGATTGATGTAGGAGCAAAATAGTCATTTATATATAAATATATTATCATAATAGTGATATATTTGTGGGCACATTAAATATGGATATAAACTGAATTTAATGTTGAATTCAATTTTTATAAAAAGGGACTTAAAATTAAAAGAGTTTAAGGAATTCGATCCATACTTTTCTCAAAAAAACCATCTAAACAAGCCCGTGATGAAATGGACTCTTCGGATATTGGACGGAGACTTTTGCGGTGGAAATCTGTCTAATTGTCCAAAGCATAAGGCCAGAATGTGTTTCATCATTTGAGCTGTGGGCTGAAAGTGGAACAGGACCCAATAAAACTGATTGTGCATTTTTTTTGTTCAATGACACTAAAAGGTGTTATTTTATTTTATTGTTTTCATGCTCGATGAATTTTTATTATTAAATTAAAATTTATGATTTAAAATAATTTATAATAATATAACAGAACCTCCAGTTTGAATTGTTTAAATTCCTCGGTTAGAAAAATATAATAACGACCCAGATCTTTTAGATCTAACGATTTATATTATAATTAAAATTTTTAACCTTTTAATTATAATAACTCATTTAAAGTTTAATTTTTAATCTTATAAATTTAAATTTTAACTTTTTTAGCTACACTAAGTCAATTCATATTTAAAAAAAAAATGTACTTTATAGAAAGCAGGATTCATTTTTTAATATTTATAATATAAAATAATGTAAACTTCAATAAATTTATCTGTTGATCTCAAATAAACTCATCTAATGATCACTAATATCTCTATTAAAATTATTTATATTACACCGTATTTTAAAATACAAAATTTCACAAGTGATACGGAGAAATAGAACTTACAAAACGATGGTCTTATCCTAAAAAGGCAAAAAATATACTAATTAATTGAATACGTGTGGTCTATTATTATCCACTTAAAACAACTTGTGGATGGTGGAAAGATTTGGGGAGAAGCTTCAAATATTTCAAATCAATGGGTCTTGATTAGACTTTAAATAAAATAATCTTTAAAATCAAAAATAGGCATTTAGGCACCCTTTATAATTTCAATTTCAATAAATATAATTGAGACACGTCTAACTAACATAAGTGGAGTTCACTAAATTTATTTGATGGGATGATATTAATGATGACTGATATCATGTGTCAATTATTAGAATATAATGTCACACTTATATTTGATTATTTACTCTTTATAAGATTTTTTGGGCCTTATCAAAATAATTCCCCACCTTTTCGTAATTAGAACAGAAACTAAAAAATTTCTCACCCTCACCAAACTCCAACTAAATTTCATTTTACTTCCTTTCCAACCACCTTTGTCGGCCCTCAATTAGAATAATGTTATTAGGACCTAATTCACCGTGACATTCGAATTCACTATAGACCCTATCAAATATTGAAACTTGATGTTGATCCAATGATTCTTATAAAATCACATCATTATATCAACAGATTAAATCAAATTTTTAAGTCTAAATAGTATTACTCTCTTCTCTATTCCTCAATTCTCTCTCTTTCCCTGCACACACATGTGAAATCTGTGTTCGCTTCAATTCAATTCTCTCCTTCACTCTCTCAACCACGCACACATGTGAAATATGTGTGGGCGTGTATTATCATTGTAATGCCCCACTTTAATGTTAAAAAATGTCATCTTAACTATACAAGTTTGCCTTGTTTGTCACAATTAGCGTCAAATAACTCAATTTCAACGCGACAAACTTGTATTGTTGACAATTCAAAAAAAAAAAAACTTGTCACCCTTTTATTTTTTGAATCTTCACTAAGATCCCTATCAGATTAAAAATATTAACTAGAATATAATTTTACTAAATCGCCCATGATATATTTTTTAAAAAATTAGACATATCTTCAATGAGATCCCTGTGTTTTCTATTTTTTTAATTATTAAAATTCGGGCCTAGCTAATTAAAATTTAATTTTTACATATTAAAATTTGAATCGATTAAAAATTATATTTTTTACGTATTAAAATTTGAATCAATTAAAATTCTATTTGAGTTGATTAAAATTCATTTTTAATCGGTTCGAATCAAATATTAATCAACTCGCTCTGAATTTTAATTTGTCTGAATTTGGATACATAAAAAAATATAAATTTTAATCGACTCAAATTTTAATACGTAAAAAATAAATTTTAATTAACTTGAATCAAATTTTAATAAGTAAAAAATATAAATTTTAATTGAATTGATGCAAATTTTATCGGAGGTAACAACTCAGGTAGAACTCAAAATCTCTCAAATTTTCATATGTAAAAAAGATATTTTGATAGGCTTGAGTTTTAATATGTAAAAAAAATAAAATTTAATCAGCTAAAATCGAATTTTAATGGACTTAAATTTCAATGTATAGAAAATTAAATTTTAATCAGCTCAAATTTTATATATGTAGAAAAATAAATTTTAATTAGCTCAAATTTTAATCAAATTTTATGTAGAAATATTGTTTGTGGTTTATCTATGTGCAATTTTAGTATTTTAAATGATTTTTTTAGGTTAGAAACGATGGTTTAACAGTAGGGGTGTTAATGATGTTTAAATATAAACTAGATGAGTTTTAGTGATATTTTGAATAATAAAAGGGTGTTTTTGAATATATAATAAATTAAAAGTGACGTGACTAAAATTTTTCTATAACAGTAAGATCAGAAATTTTTGAGGAGGACTTGCTTAAGATATCGACAAAATAAATTATATATCTTTTAAATTTATTACTTGAATGGGTACTTTTTATATTTTTTGTGAGTTATTTTATAACTAAAAATTTATCATTTTTGTGGATAATTTTACTATTTGTGTGAGTGTTTTTATTACTATTACCATAATTATTTTTATTATTTTTTGTTAGTATAAATTTTTTTACCACTTTTGTGAATGCTTTTATCATTGTTATAGTAATTATTTTGTTCACTTTTTTCAATAGCACAATAGTTAAAAAAAATACCTACAAATATAATAAAATTAGCCACAAATACTATAAATATTGTTAAAATACCTTAAAAAAATATCGGTAATATAGACAACTTGTTTTGAGGATACGCTATTTATGGAAACCCCTTATAATTTCAATAATTTACACAAAAAAAAAAACCATAATTGAGACACACCTATCCGGATCGAGTGTGGGGTTCACTAAGTTTACATGATCAGTTGTTAATGGTTACTGATATCACGTGTCAGTGATGAAATAATATACTTGCTATATTATATATTAGAGGTAATTCATGCAAGGTGCTATATGAATGATTTTGAAAGAGACGTTGATAATCGTTTAATGAATTTATTTGATATTACTGAATGAACTTATTAAAATTTGACGTGTTTTATATTTCTAATGTTATTGAGACATAATTTATTAACATAATTTGCTGATCTAATTCATTGTGACATTTGGATTGATTATAGGCCCCAACAAATATTAGAACTTAGTGTTAATCTAATAATTCCTATAAAATCACATCATTATGTTAAAAAATTAAATTAAATTTTTAAGTACAAATATCCTTACTCTTTATATTATAAATTTACTATTTATGAACAGCTCCCGGATTCCTTTTTCCGTTTTATTAAAATGAGCAATACTATATGGACTTAAAAAGTAGACTTAAAAATTAGACTTGATAATATCAACTATTGATTTCACTGTGGGTCTCAGTATTTATTGAGACTCACTACCTATTCAATGGTTGAGATTATCAAGTCTAATTTTTAATTCTACTTTTTAAATCCATAGAGCATTAGTCTATTAAAATAGGTGGTGTCGACCTTTTCGTAACCAGTTCAAAAACTAGAAAAATCCTCATCCTTACAAAACCCTTCCCTTTCAACCATCTTTGTCGATCCTTATCTAATCCTCGTATATTCTTTAACACAGTCTCTCTCTCTCTCTCTCACGTGAAATATGTGTGAGCATGTATGATCATTGCAGTGTCCCACTTTAGTATAAAAAATTGTCATACAAAAAAAAAAAATTAATAAACTTGTAGTGTTGGATTGCCAAAAAATATATCTGATGTTTTAAGTCTTTGTCCTTTATTTCTTAACCTAGAATTGTATCACAAATCTTATGAGCCATATCAATAATTTAGTCGGTGCAACATTACTCAACTACCAATACTTATCTCTTATTGCCTGGACAGCTCAATCTCACCCAGTCTACGTCAAAGCAATAGAGCTTTATATTAAGTTCATCTGCTCTCTCTCTCTCTCTCTCACACACACACACAAAGACTATGGAGTTGAACTTGGGGCCACAAGAGGCAGACCAGACAGTTTTTGAGGGAGATGGTGGTGGATACTACAGTTGGTCAACTTCCAAATCTCCATTGCTGGGTGAAGCTAAGGTTGGTGCTGGCAAGCTTGTTCTGAAACCTCGTGGGTTTGCTCTGCCCCACTCTGCAAATTCTGCCAAGATCGGTTATCTTCTTCAAGGTATGAGACCTGGTCTATCCTTTTCGAGGTAATTATTTTTATTTATTTTTTTTTTTTGGAAAGGGAAAAGAAGGGGACTTGAACTCTTAATTTCAAGAAGACAAAACCTTCACAAGACAAAGAGTATCATTGGATCAACGGCCCATTGATATCTTTTCAAGATAATTAAGGTCTATGTATCCTGAGTTGAACATGCATTCTAACTCAGAGTTATATAATCCAAGAATTAAATTTGAGTTTAACCGGGATTGTATATTTCGACAGAGACCAAGTATATATACGAGGCTTCTGTCCATCACCTCATAGGACATTATCTTCTCTCCGCAGGTAGTTGTACAGTTGGGATGATTGCACCCAACACTTCAAAAGAAAATGTTTTGATAATAAACAAGGGGGATGCAATTCCGGTGCTTCTGGGAGGCATCTCATGGTGGTTCAACGGCGGAGACTCGGACGTGGTCATTCTCTTCTTGGGTGAAACTGCCAAGGCTCATACACCTGGCCAATTCACCTGTTTCCTCTTGGCAGGAACCCTAGGTATCCTGCAGGGTTTCTCAACTGAATTTGTCAGCAGAGCTTATAACCTAAATGAAGAAGAAGCTCACTTGCTTGTGAACAGCCAAACCGGTGTTTTGATTGTTAAACTTGAAGAAGGTATCATTTGATTGCGCTTTTCTAAGAATTTTTTTAACTACTTTTTTTTTAATACTATTTAGTTTTCTATTTTAATTGTTTATTTAATTTTCTTGTTGTTTGGACTTGCTCTCTTCTAAGTCTAACCAAAATAAAATTTGTAGTAATATACGTGGATAAGTATATAGGGTTAATTTCAAATTATCCCCTCAACTATGGATACTATTACAATTAACTACCTCATGTTTCAATTTCGATAAATTGCCCCTTCAAAGTTTTGAATTGAGCAAATTAACGGATAAAACTAATTAAAATGCAAAAGTACAATTATGCTATCAACCTCTAACCTTATCTCCCCCAAATTATTTTTGGAATGTCCAAACAATACATAACAATGTAAAAATCAGTGTAGCTCTTAAATTAAGCTTGAATTTTGATTAATTAAAAAAGCAAACAGCAGACTAGCAAGGAATTTAAGGGAAGTTTTGGAACTAAATTTTTCATTGCATTCATCTTCTAAAAAAGTCTTTTACAAGTTTTATATGGACACTCCGTACATTTTAGAAAAGTCTCTCACACTTTTATGGACACACCTAAATATAAACACTTTATATATTCTAGGAAAGACTCTTATAATCTTTATTTAGACACACCCATATAATTCTAGAATTTTCTATCTTTTGACCTAATTAAATACAACAAAACATGACCTAAACACATACTAATATTTTATGACTCAATTACAAATATAATATTTTTAGTCAAAATACAAAATAACACAATAAAGTATTAACTTTAACACTCCCCTTTAATGCTTTGTTGTGTGACACCCAATATTTCTTGAAAGTATTAAAACGTGTCCTTGTAACGCCCCAAAAACCCCCGTGGGTGACATTACATTCTAAAAATCATTTACCGTATGAGAGCATTAAGTAAAATTCATCACGACGAAAGTTTCATTCATCAACCATTCATATTTTAACAAAATTTGGGCAGAGTCTCCTTTGTACGGGAAGCTCTACCCAAAACACAACTTGTACAATTATATTACAATTGACCACACCGGGTCCACATATGCATAACTATTGACCACACCGGGTCCATTTTTCCATCATAAAATAAACTTGCATTCATCATATGTCATATTCACACTATCATCCCAAATTAATAGGTCTAATCTTGGCCTTTACATCCCCAAAATGTAATAATATAACGCAACGGAAATAACAGAAATGAACTAGAGTTCAAAAGGATATTCTAAGCATAATCTAATCTAGAACAAAATAAAAGTGTCGCTCTAAGCGTCCACCTCGGGATCCACATCCCCGTCAAGCGGAGTCTTCCAATGGGTGGGCTCCTCGGCTCCTAACTCCTCCTCAAGTGTGAAATCTGAAAAATTTTTATTTGTAGGGGGTGAGCACGAAGCTCTGTAGCAAAATCCTCTCAACTCAAACAAGGTTTGAAAAACATAGCAAACGGTCGGTCTCATTTCACAACTAACATATATATAAGTTTGGAATGAAAACAGTGACATTTTAAAAGAGATCTCAAGTTTAAACAATAGCAATAATCAGTTAAAAGAATAAAGTGAATTTAGCATCGATAAACAAAATTCTAATTTAAGCTATTTAAGAAGGGCTTCTCCCTAAGCATTGTCCCATACCAATGCATCGGCAAGAACGACCCAACTCCCGATTCCATGTATTTTTGGTTCATCCCCGTACCATGTATGTTGATTGCTTCTCGTGAATCTACCTAACGATCATGCCCAGTCCACCAATTCCAACCAACAATCACAAATCTCTTTAGGAATGGCGTGTACCGTCTCCTACGGCATTGACGAAATCCTCCCAATGTGTCTAGTATACTAACCCTTTTCCTCGGTGTATATGTGAACAATAGTGATCGCGAGCACAACAACGATCCACTACGAGCATTAGACAACCATCTCACCCCCCATTGGGATAGACTAACCTCTAACACTCTACGGCATCTCTCGAAGGTAATCCCAGTCCATCACAACAACCATACAATGAGGAAATCAAGAATATTCACAATTCACAACAATTTCCCAAATATAGTAAAATCCCCAATTTTGTTTTCACATTTGTCATATAATCGAATAATCCAAGAAAATATGCAAGAGATCGTAATCTATATCATTTTGTTATACAATATTCAACACTAAAGTTTTAAAATCAAAGACAAAGAAGAAATTAGGAGAAAATCCCCCTTTCTTGAAAACTAGGGCTTTGAAGATAAAAAAAAAAATCAATAGAGCTTTGGTGGTTACCCACCCTTCATATTGTTCAAAACATGGCATTTATTACAAATAGAACAAGAATCATGTATTTCATATTATATATATGAGAAGGAGAGTGAAGAAACATATATCTATATACATATATATATCTATAGATATATATCTAGCCTCAATGTGAGAGATTGAGAGAAAATCTCCTACCTTAAATCAAGATTCCAAGCTAAGACCCAAGCTTCAAGACCTTCTTGCTCTCCTTTATTTTCCTCTTAATCTTCTCCTCCTAGGGTTTCAAAAGATTTGGGTGAGAGGGTAGCAAGAATGGAAGAAAATGGGAGGAGAATGTATTCTTGAAGAATTTGAAGTTTTGATTTCTACAAGGTATAAATCCCTCTTGATTGGTATTTCTATCTTCCTCTCTTCCTCTAAAATGGTTCCTAGGGTTTGGAGGGGTGAAATGAATGCTAAAGGGACGACATTAGGTTTTTATAGGGCAAGAAAATCGAGCAAAACCCGATATTTTCTGTTCAGAAAAAATCGGGTTTCCTTCGTACTGTTCACAGATTTTTAGTGCGACTTCCAGGTCAGTTTTGACCCATTTAGAGGTCGAATTGGAAATGTTTCATGAAATACACTTTTGTAGCCCTAGATGTCTACTATTTACTGTAAAAATTTCAGATCAATTGGACATCAAAATATAAAGTTATGATCAAAATACTAAGCAGTGTCCATCACCCCTTTTTACCCAATTTCACTCCAATTTGGTTTTACTTCTAAAATACTTCCTAACTTCTAATACATCCCATATTACCTCTCCCAATGTTTTCCGACCTCCCGAATTCAATGGTAATGTTATTTTGATAAAAAAAAATTAATATATTTATTTAGTTACCCTTATCAATTTTAAACACATCCAAAAAAAAAAAAAATTAAGTTTGACCCAAAAGTCAATCCGTTCGAAACTCAAACTTCATGATTAATATTTCAACAATGATTCTAAGTTTTTATCCTCATTTTATTCATATTTGAAAAACTCTTAAGATATTAGTATTCTTATTTAATTTTAGTACAGGGTCTTACAATCCACCCCCCTTAAAGAAAGTTTCGTCCTCGAAACTTACCTCAAGTAGCGAACAAATATGGATATTTCTCTCGCATCTCCCACTCCGGTTCCCAAGTTGCTTCCTCTACGCCATGATGTTGCCACAGGACTTTCACCAGCTGGATTACCTTGTTGCGAAACACTTTCTCCTGGATATCAAGAATCTTCATCGGCTGCTCTTCATAGGTGACTCCATCTTGCACTTCAATATCCTCCAAATCCACGACATGCGACGTATCTGGTTGACATTTCCTCAACATCGAAACGTGGAACACGTCATGAACTCCTGACAATGATACTGGTAGCCGAAGTTGGTATGCTACTTTGCCCACTGTCTTGATCACTTCAAATGGACCGATGTACCTTGGAGCGAGTTTTCCCTTCTTACCGAATCTAAGTACGCCCTTCTTGGGTGACACTTTAAGAAATACAAAATCTCCCTCCTTGAATTCCAAAGGCCTTCTTCTCCTATCCGCATAGCTCTTTTGTCGACTCTGTGCTGTGCGTAATCTCTCCCGAATGAGCTGAATCTTCTCCGTTGTCTCCCGTACAATCTCGGGCCCAAACATACTACTCTCTCCGGCTTCCAACCAACATGTCGGGGATCTACATGGTCTTCCATACAAAGCTTCATACGGCGCCATTCCGATACTCGCTTGGTAACTGTTATTGTACGCAAATTCCACCAACGGTAAGTGATCGATCCAACTCCCTTTGAAGTCCAATGCGCAAGCCCGTAACATGTCTTCCAAAACCTGTATCACTCTCTCGGATTGGCCATCTGTTTGAGGGTGAAAGGCTGTGCTGAAATGTAATTCTGTCCCCATAGCTTGTTGTAGACTTTGCCAAAAACGAGCCACAAAACGAGAATCGCGATCCGACACGATAGAAAGTGGAACTCCATGCAATCGAACAATCTCTCGAATGTATAGTCTGCTCAAGATCTCTAACGAGTCTGTGGTCTTCATCCCCAAAAAGTGAGCTGACTTGGTGAGTCGATCTACGATAACCCATACGGCGTTATGCCCTCTTGAAGTCCGTGGAAAACCCGACACGAAGTCCATGGTGATATAATCCCACTTCCACTCCGGGATAGGCAGAGACTGTAATAATCCTCTAGGTCGTTGGTGCTCAATCTTCACTTGCTGACATACGGCACACCTTGAAATGAACTTTGCTACATCCTTCTTCATTCCACTCCACCAATATTGTCGTTTCATATCTCTATACATTTTTGTACTCCCCGGATGTATAGAGAACTTCGATCGGTGACACTCTCCCAACACTTCTTCCCTCACTTGGTCGTCGTTTGGCACGCATAATCTTCCCCAAAACTGTAACTCCTCATTCTTTAAAGACCAATCCTCAACAATCTCATTCCTCTCCAATTTATCCCGAATTTTTGTCAACTCGGGATCTAATCGTTGCAACTCCACAATCCTTTGTCAAAGGATTGGTTGAGCTACTAGGTTAAACAAACATGGTCGATCCTCCGGTCCATTAACCCATAGATCAAACTCCTCCAACGTATCCATCATTTTCCACCGTTTAGCCGCAAGGACATTGATTTCACCCTGAGACTTCCTACTCAATGCATCCGCTACTACATTAGCCTTCCCCGGATGATAGTTGAGAGTGAAGTCGTAATCTTCTAAGTACTCAATCCACCT